CTTCAGGCGGTGCAAGTGATGAGCTGAGGCCGATTGTGGTGGTGAGTTTAGACGAGTTTTAGAGGTGAAAAATCTCAAAATCTAATGATGACTTTTTCATTGCAGAACTTTGCTCTGAGCAGGAAGGGCAGTGCTGACAGCGGTGATCATCAACCACTTTGATTGCCACCTCTTTTTGTTGTTATTTTTTTTGTTTGTTCTAATAAAGTCTTTTCTCTTTTCTTCTCATCTTTTTTAGTAGGTCAAGTTTGACTGTCCTTGAGCTGGAGCACGTTGGAGTACTATCGAGTAGATTTGTGTAGTGGTTCTTTTTTAAGTTTTCCAAACAATGAGGGAGGATATCAGCAAGCTAAGGTGCTTTTGATGGCAATTGAAGCGATAGGCTCCGCAAATTAACTAAACTGGACTGGACTTTAGACCCACTTATCAGGTACTTTTCTTTTAAACTGCAACCTTATCAACAGCGGCAGGACGTTTTAAAGTGTGGCTCACTTTGCTGTCACTTGATAAGTGTTGCTACACTCAGAAGCTTTTTAGAAAACAAAATCAAACAAATTCATTTTATTTTACTTTAGTTTGAGACTCAGAATTCTTTGAGGATTCTATATGAAGGATCTCAGTTTAGTTCTCAATTTTGTTGTGCACTGAGGCGCAGGCGAGGACGCCGTGGTCGCCGACGGCCTTCAGGGTGACCATGGTGTCGGGGACGGCGGGGACGATGGCGGGAATGGTGAAGGTGTACTCGAAGGGCACCGTCTGGCCCTTCTTCAGGGGGCACTTGACGATCTTGCAGCCGTCGGTCTCCACGCCGGGCACGGCCACCTCGATGCCGTTCAGCTTGCCGGTGATCTTCAGCTCGATCTTCGTCGTGTCCTGGTTGGCGGTGAAGGTTGACTTGAGGTGCACCGGTTTGGACTTGTGCAGCGTGCACAGCTCGCCGGAGCAGCCGTCCACCTCGACCTTGGTGATCTCGTTGTGGCCTGGAAGGGAAGAGAATTTTTTAGTGGAGGTTGTTTTGAAGGTTTTGGCAAGCTTTTTTTCTTTTACTTACCACAGTCGTGGAACTTGACCTCGCCGGCGGCGGCAACGGCGACCAGAGCAAAGAGGATAAGGAACTTCATTGTTGTTGGGAGTTTTTAGGGGTTGTTTGTGTCGACTGATGAGTGCAACTGGAGAGTTTAGCTTATTGAGGGGGCTTTATATACCCGTTTATTGCAAAGCTGTGCCCAAAATTGTTAACTGGTTTAATCGGTCTAGAGTTTGTAGGTATAAAGAGTCCTATTAGTGGCTTATTAGTGGGCCAATCTACAAGAGGTTTATTAATAAGTGTTGATGGTGAAAAAGAAGAAAAGGTTGAAGATGATGCTGTTGCTTTTGCTGTTCAATCAGCTTTGGCAGACGTCCTATCTTTTCAAGCCAATTGATGCTGTTGCTACTACTCAACAAATCNCAAAGCTGTGCCCAAAATTGTTAACTGGTTTAATCGGTCTAGAGTTTGTAGGTATAAAGAGTCCTATTAGTGGCTTATTAGTGGGCCAATCTACAAGAGGTTTATTAATAAGTGTTGATGGTGAAAAAGAAGAAAAGGTTGAAGATGATGCTGTTGCTTTTGCTGTTCAATCAGCTTTGGCAGACGTCCTATCTTTTCAAGCCAATTGATGCTGTTGCTACTACTCAACAAATCAACTCAGTCACTTGAAGAGGGGGTGATAACTCCGGTTAGGAGGAGGGCCCTAAATAGTAACCAAAACTTTGTTTACAAAAAAGATNTTGATGCTGTTGCTATTGCTGTTCAATCAGCTTTGGCAGGCGTCCTATCTTTTCAAGCCAATTGATGTTGTTGCTACTACTCAACAAATCAACTCAGTCACTTGAAGAGGGGGTGATAACTCCGGTTAGGAGGAGGGCCCTAAATAGTAACCAAAACTTTGTTTACAAAAAAGATCTTTTATTGTAAAGTTTCTGTTGTCATAGAGGTTTATGTTTGCTGAACTGATAAAATGTACAGGAGTTGTTGTTGCATAAAACAAAAACAAACAAACAAACAAAAATAAACTCTTATGCCTTGAGCTCTCCGGCGACCTGGCCGCAGGCGATCAGTCCGTGCTCGCCGTATGACTTGAGCGTCACCTTGGACTTGATTTCCGGGGCGATGGAGGGAATGTGGAAGGTGTAGTCGAGGAAGTACTTGGTGCCCTTCACCAGCGGGCACTTGAGGGCCTTGCAGCCGTCGGTGTCGATGCCGGGAATGGGGATCTCCAGGCCGTTCAGGGTGGCGGTCACCTTAACATCAATTTTGCTCGTATCTTGGTTGGCGGTGAAGTTCGACTGGACGTGCACCGGCTTCGACTTGTGGATGACGCAGCCGTCCAGGGAGCAGCCGTCCACGAAGACGGTGGCGATCTCGCCGTGACCTGGAGGGTTGGTGAAAATGGGGTGAATGGAGTTCAGGAGTTTTAGATCAATTTTGGAGACTTACCACAGTCGGTGAACTTGACCAGACCGGCGGAGGCGACGGCCACCAGGGCAAAGGAGAGAGCGACGATGAGGAACTTCATTGTGGAAGTTTGGTTTGGAGTTGGGTGGTTTTGTGGTGGTAGTAGTGGTTTTAGCTGTTGCTGTTCGACAACTGATGATTCTCTCTGGTCGACCAGACTGCTCTTTTATACTAAAACTTTTCTGTCTCGTTCATTAAAAACAGCCGCCACTAAAGTTCTCGCTTGTTGTTGTTGTTGTGGATTTCGGGAAAGTCTCATTACCTTCTCTTGTTGTGTTTGTTGTCTCTCATTTTCTTTGACAGTGTTTCAGGGCGGCTAACCCAAAAATGTCCGAGTTCGTTTTGAAAGGAAACAAAAGTTGATTTTGCACACTCTCTGCATTGAGAAACTTCTCCTTTGATAAAGATCCTTTTTAGCGATTTCCCCCAATCTCAAGTGCTTGCTGGACTGATTAGACAGGTGATCCTCTTTAGACTTTAAAATTTACTTCTAAAACGGCCGTTTTTAGAAAAGGTTTTATGCACTGTCATGAGCGGGAAAGTAAGAGGCCACTGCTTACCATTTTAACAATTAACTCGATTGATAACTTAATTATTATTAAATTGACTCAACNTGATTGATAACTTAATTATTATTAAATTGACTCAACTTGTGTGTCAATTCACTGTCGCCGAATCTACCTGCACTTTGGTAGTTGGCTTTGTAGTC